AAAACCCCAAATTTGCCCCCCCCCCCCCCCCCCCTTCACCTCAATGTAGGTGGTCACCGGCCCGCGGACATTAAAAACTGCTTCCCAGGCCCTCTTAGGGGTTTTAACTCTTAAAAATGCTAGTTTCTAATAATATTTTACAATGGAAAAAGCAGCAAGAAAAACCCACAGAGCACAATCAAGGATGGGCCTCCATGATAAACATAATTTCCACTGTGTAACACTTCTTCCTAGAGGCAGTGAATTTATGGCCCACTGTGTTATCAGCAGAATCGTGCAACCTAGTGATGTACTGAACCATTTAGTTTTTCAATACATAACGTTAGTTGCAAATAATTATTTATTAATGCAGTGATAACCCAGTACTCTATGATCTACAGACACCCACTTAATTGGACACCCATATAACAGGCAGTTTTGTTTGTCCTGAGGAAAAGCATAGATTTTTTCTTTAAAATTAACCGGCTTAGTACGCACAGTAGTTAGCACAGTAGTTAATGTGGACAACAACCAATTTTCTGTGTTTCAAGTCAGAAATTCCTATATATTCTTAATCCAGCTTTACAGACACTGGTTACCCAGGCACGTTCTATTTTTCTTGTCACAACGATGTGCCAATTGTAGACATTGTACCAAGTTCACGGGTTAATAAGATTTTATTACCAAAACATCTGCAGTCAAATAGCATGACACATTTGATTTTGATACATCTTTCTTTCTTCCCCTGTTTGTAGTCCTTTGATAAATTTTCTGCCTCCTACTCAACAAGTTTCATGTCCTTGGCTTTTTGCTACAGTCATTGTTCCTACCCTTCTTCCTCCTTGTTCCTTTATGCTATATATCAAATAAATCACGTGTCTGTGACTTTTTTCCGGAGAGCTAACTTAATATGGGCACCCGGATAATACGGACACCCATATAATATAGACATCATAACATGTATATATTTTCTTGTCTAGCCAAAGCTTCAAAGCTGGTCCTAGTAAAGAGAGCATCCAAAAAATGCACACCTGGGTTTGAATAATAAATAAATTCAAAAAAAAACGTCACATACAACAATTTCATAAAGTTATCTATAAAAGTTATGGGAATACAAGGGGATATCATTGACAATAGTAGGATGAGGTGAAATCTCTGAATTTTTATTAGCGTTGCAATTTATAAGTTGCTTTATTGATCTGCAGTCAATCGATAGGGAAGGTATAGGCAGACAGTCAGCCTTTTCAAAAAAACATGAGCTACAAAGAATGTGTCAGTCTTTAATGTCAGCACTGAAAATTATTAAATTGATATACCAAATCAAGAGCGAGCGATCCCCTTATTTATCTATTTATATTGAAAATGAGTAAATTAACTTTTCTGACAAAGAGAACTTAACATTAGATCTAATTTTAAAATCCTCAGCTCAGATACGTAACACTAAAGTAACAATTAAATTTTCAATAATAAAGGACAGCAGTCCGTTTAAGATGGTAAAAAAAAACCACATGCATATGACAACGAGCTGGCTGCTTTAGAACTGAAACTTAGCTGAACTGAAAACTGTACCCACTCTGATTCGCTGTGCCTGAAGAGCTATAGAGCAAAACTTTATCTACACTTGGATAAATGAACACTCGAGAGTGGCTAGAAGGCAGGTGAAATTGGTGCGGACTCTCGATCTTCTTGCCTGTGTATTATTATTATAGCTAGTACGTCTACAAATACACCTACCAGTAGTCTGAATCTCCGTCGGCACAAACTGCATAAAATCCGACTTGGTGAAGGGGTTTTTTTTCCTTCTCTGAGGCTAGCTGCCCTTAGTATTTTACTTTCTCATATTCAGTCGGTGCTAGTTCTACAGAGTCATCGTAATCTACGATTTCCTCCATCACAATTCCAGAATCGGGCGAAGACGAGCGAAGCTTTGAGAATCGCTAGCTGTTTTCTCACGGTTCAGGTTTGTTTTCTTGGCGTGTTCAGAAAATGACGTCACAATCAGAGAACAATAGCTTTGTCACTGGAACATAAATTTGTAATGGCGGACGCGAAAAACCTACATTTTCAAGCTCAATATTTTCACTTAGAGGGCGCCAAAGTCCATTTCAATGACCGAAACAGGTACAGCCACTTCTGATAAGCTGAAAAGAAAGCATTTTTGTGAAAAACTTGACATTAAATTTTGATCGTAGTAGCACTTTAACTAAATCAACCTTGATCTAGAGAAAAAAAACCCTGACCTGACCTACTCGGTTTCATGTTCTAATAGTTATGTTTCGTATTCCACAATGGCCCTGGGACGAGCACGATTGCGAGGCTAATGCGAGTCAACTTCTTTGCAAAAACAAAAGAAAACGTGGGTAATTTCCCGTTGAGTCGCTGGAAAACGATAGAAATCTTTGAAACGGTAAGATTTTGAAGCTTAACCTTTCCCAGTAAGCCAAAGGGATATCTGTTGCAAACAACAAAATTGTGGGTAAAGCTGATCGTACGTAACAGAAGAAAAAAAAGGGACGAAGCC